TAAACCCCCAGAGCTCTCCAAACAGAAGATTAAATGGAAACATAAAAGTTCATTTTGAAAGACAGGATATTTTTGAGTACTGAAGGCAGACATTGTTGAGTTATATGCAGTTGATATTTGCAAAGTGATCACCAAAAAGGCTCCCGATAAAACTGAGTAGGTATAAAAGGAGTTCAGGAAAATTATACTCTAAGGCATCATTCTGACTTTTTCTGTCTTGCTGCATCACATTTAGTTTATATGGGATGTAACAGGAGAATGTAGCCTGAAGGCATGAATTTGTTAATTGAAATGTAGAATGAAACATACAGTGAAACAAAACAATTATTTCATTCTTATTCCCACATATTGGCTCCCTGGTCAAAATAAATGAAGGGCAAATAAGGCAGGGAAAAGAAATAAGAGAAAAAATGGAAACATTTTCATCCTGAAAAACTAAAAGTGCAAGCAGCACAGTCTGTTTTCAACCATCTCATAACTGACTAACACTGGGAACAAGGTCAGGTGTAGAAAACCTTAAACTTAGGGCATCCAATGAGCCTCAGTAATTAATTGTTACTGAGATGTCCTGCTCTTTAGTTAAGGATGTGTTCTTTCTGGTTTTGTCTAAATATTGATAAGAAACAAGAACATTGGCCTATAGGAGTAGATGTAGCAATCTACAAATTCAGCCGCTGTCCAGCTTTCGTGCTCCTCAGAGCTCCAGCACATTTCTTCAGAACGCCCCTAGTTTAACAGACTCTCTCTCCAATAAGCTACACATATTAACGTTGTAACATAATACCTTGTGGAGAAGAGACATCCTGGCAATCATTGCTAAGCCAAAAAACTCCCTAACATACATTAGGGTGGTAAGGAATGTGCTGAAACCCTGAGGGTCTTACAAATACGTAACAATAGAACATCATTAGAATATGCATATCACACTTGAAGAATCTTCTTTTCTAGTCTGTGAAATTGCTTGGACACAGAGATCTGTCATTTGATTTCATGATTGTTAGGGAATGTAAGTAATATTCTCACAGCAACTTGTGACAAATTCTGTGTTTGGTTATACGACCACATTTCTTCTGGCTAGCTGAAAACTGCTCTAAGACTATATTCCAGGAGATAAGACTGGATGGATCAGTAGTTTTAAGGAGCTCTTGATTCAGTCAGTTGAGAAGAGATGAAAAGTATGTTCAGACTAACCACAAATCTTTTCTGAGTCTCAATATTATTTAACTCCAGAAACTGCTCTTGGTTAACCCTGTATATATAATCTTCTAGTTGTAGAGCCTGTGACATCCCTACTACAACCTTGAGGCTTAATATAACAAACAAAAGTCCTGTTCTGGCTTGAGAAATAAATGGTACACAATGGGCTTTATTTCTACCTGCATACCATAAAAGATTATTTTCAGCAGATTTTTAGATGTGCTACATCTCCACCAAAAAGTACAGAAAAGTAATAAGTCTTCAATGCATTTAAATGGTTAATGTTGCCCAAAGTATGCACATTATTAAAGTATTTAGAGACCAGATAAGTAGTTGGCATAATCTAAAGTTTAACACAGGCTATTTAAAGTCTCTGCCTCATGTGTAAATGGTGCATATAAGAGCACATCCTGTAATGTTATCTTTTCAAAAGTAAGTAGAAGAAATTTTGAGGCAAGTGAAGTTATTTCCCATTTTAAATCTGCTGTTAGAACAAAATTGCTTGATAAACCATGTGAAATAGCTGCTGCATCAATACATGTGTTTAACTGGAATTGGAGCTTGTTTTCTTATGTTGTTTCTAAAGTAACTCAAGATGTACCATAATCCAAAATAAAGTCTGCTATTAACACAGTACTCAGAGGCCTTCATTTTCACATGATTGCCCAGGAGGAAAAAATAAAAATTAAAAAAATTAGTTACATTACTGCAACTCTTCTACCAAGTCTCTTGTACATGAACAGACAATTACAGAAAATGTAAGTACAATTACTTCCCATAAGAAGGGGACATAATTCATAATTTGCCAACTCTTCCCAATTCCCTTTACAAAGATATCTCAAAAAGAGAAAACTCAGAAAACACTTGCCTGATAAAATCATTGCTTACACCCTACTCAGAGCAGAAAATTTAAACCACCTAAATGTCTATGGGGAATATAAAATAGTTTGCAGTTTTTCAGAATTTCATCAATTTATGCAGGAATATAAATACCAAAGGTTGACAATAATGCACATGAAATAAACTCCACTATTTCTGAAGATTCATTCATAAACCAATTCAGGTTCAATTGATTTAGAATGTCTGTGTAGAGACAGCCTTAGCTGTCTAGAACCAAGATATACTGGGAAGGCATTTATGAAGTGTTTTTTTCTTCATTTTTAAGTCTCATATATTCAATGACCCACTCAGGTTACAGTGTTATTTCATTCAGAACCAAACCAAGCTGTGTCATCAGAATGCCTTGGATTATACAGAAGTAGAGGGTTAATTGAAATAAATAATCAAACCCATGAACCAGAATCTTCCACCGAATAGAAATCATACTGTCACTAACCCTATACCTAAACAGATATTTTAATTTATGCTTTTTGAAAGCTGGAAGAATCTCATCTAATTTGTATGAAATATCACAATCACTTATAGCACAAATAACATGATATTAGGCCAAACAAAAGGGATCAATTCTCTGCTATTATAGAGCATTCCTTCTATCAAGCTACCTCTATGATCATTTTCACATTAATTTTTCATTTAGTTTCCCTAACAGAAGAACAAGAAGCAGACACAGTACAACTGATTATCACCTGCACACCAACAGGCAATCACAGCTAATTTTAAACTTAAATTGCTTAATGTAAGAAGTTCAAGCTCAACTGCCATGTGCAGAAACTGGAAAGAGGAATTAAATACCTGTCAGAAACCAACTGGTTCTCACAGGACTGCACAATCCCAGCAGCCCTTCATCAAGAGCACTGTAAATACTGTTCTTTTTACCACTGCCCATCTGTCAGCCGTAAGACTCTGATGCCTTGAATACATATCAGTGTGATAAAGAATTCGGAAATCAAACTAGTGGAGAGCCAGTGGAATTCACCACCATCCACAGCAGCATGACAGGTAATAGAAACCTTGCAAAACATGTTTGCACAGCCAAAGATTTAAACTATGTATTCTTTACTACTCAAATACTAGATTTTGAGTAAAGACTGAGATCTGCCAAAATTGCTGGAGTTTTTGTTCTGTTATGATCATTTTGCATTATATGCATATGCTGGCTGACCCCTTAAACACAAGCTGGAAATTCCAAGCTTCAATCTGTATCTTCTTAATGTACAGAAGACAAGACATACAGCACAAAGGGATAATCAGAATCTTAGAAATATTTATTTCCTGCTTCCACAAGAATGATGAGTTTAAGCTGGGGTTTTTTTCTCCTAGAGCTTTAATAGCCAGAAATTTGAAACATTCTATAAGATTCCTGTATACCTTAAATAGTATACTTCTCTGAATAGAAACTATTTACACTGTATAACTAAATTTCATAGGTGTGTCTTGAAAGGTGTACACACCAAAAATAAAATTTAAAAATTGTAATAGGAATCCATCTAATCAGTATTATGTGCTCCAAGTCTGTGAAGTTTTTTAAAAACCCCAGGAAATCAATTAATGGACATTTTAAACACTGGATGTACACATTCCCTCAAATGTGATAACCATCTCAACTCTGATCTGACATTGCACATATATACATAATTAATGCATTGTTCTGTTTAAGGGACTGAAATTATTCACATTTTAAAATAAGTGTCAATTGCACTTGAAACAACGATCACAGATTGATAGCATGCACCCTTTAACAGATCCCTTAAAAATACATGACTACCTTCACCCTTCAGAATAGAAATACAAAGCAGAAAAGAAGCATCAACCAGAGCAACCAAAATCAAAACTCAGTCAACTAGGAGATGAAGAAACAAGGCACAGTATCACAACAATCAAGGTCAAGCTCACCACATCGAAGTCAATGAGAATTATACACACTGTCTTAAAATGCAAACATAGGTGCTTCTAAAAATATTCTGGAATGAGAGCTGTGTATGACCAAAATGATATATACACCAAATATATTGGCATGTAAAGCACTTCAAATTATTTCACTATTCTTTAACAACTTGCCTTCTACACAGAGTTGCATCAAACATCACCACATTGACATGCTATTAACTAAATATTTCTATTGCATTTCATGCTTGGAAGGTACAATACCTCTGTCTGAAGTATGGCAGCTCTCTGTTCTTTGGCAGTAAGGGACTCTTTAAGCACTTCAATATGTTGCTTGCAATCTGAATTCTGATTGCTAAGGGTTTCAAGCTTAGTTTGTAAGGCAAGAAGTTCTGATTCTTTCTTTGAGAGTTCTTGTTTCAGTTGATCAATCTGCAGTGGGGAAAAAAAAAGTTAGATCATTAAGTTTGACTCCAATTCATAGTTCCACTTGAAATCTGAAAGGTGTGAATGATCATGGGTACAAAGCAGACACCTGTGAACTCTGGAAGAGGACTCAGACTTTTTAAACTCACAACTTCAATTGTGTTTCTTGTAATTTAATGTACTCTGTCTTAAGAATGATTGCCCTGCTATTGCTGAAGTTAAAAGGAAATTCTTAAAGATTATACATGATGATTTGGCCTATAAATTCACCATGGACCTCACTCAAGTTCAAAGGCATTTATCCCATGTGAGGCAAGCCTGGCAGGACAGCAAAAATGCATAGGAAAAAAAGTGTTCATGAAAGTATAAATTCAATCCTATAGCCTACTCCTTCCAACAGCAAAATTTCTGTGACTTATCATTGGCCAGAGTCAATCGAGAGGTTTTTTAGGAGCCTGATAAAGCAAAAACAGGCATCCTAGGAGATGAAAACAGAAAAGTGGATTTTTAACCTGACTCTTCTTGCAAATATGCTGTTGCCCACCATCCTCACCTCCTATTTTTCTCCCTGGCAGTTCATATGGAATTCTCAGATACTAGAAAAGCCAAGCCAAAGAGATTAACTTAAAGAGAAGTCTGGGGAAAACATTATAAAAAATTCCACAGAATGAAATGGCTGAGACACTGTAAAAGCTTATCCTAGAGGAAACAGCAAAAACACAGTCACTAAGACTGAGCTTCTGAATTTAAGTTAAGGTTCATCAGTAAAAGTCACTGAATTGTGATTGTTCTTCCCATTCCATAATGATAAATGGGAGGACTAGCCACAGAACACAAAACTGTAGTGGATCTAGAATATATGAATCAGAATAAAGCACTGGCCCATACACAGATGCTAAAGGATGGTGAATTAGGTGACCTATAACTACTCTTAAATTCTTGTGAAACAACACTGGTCACCAGATAATTCAGATACATCATCTCAAGAGGGTTATATGAAATAAAATGCCTCACTGCATCTGCATAACGCAGGAAAACCACACTTACTTTATGTTTGGAAAGTTTTCTTGACAACTGCAAGGCCTAGATATTTTTTGTCTAAAATTCAAGTTTCAATACTGCAACAACCAAAGAAGTGCTAGAAGAACTCTTTTCCATTCTCTCCCATCAGTTGCATCCCAACAGACATTTGGGATACAAGAAATTTAGAAGTGGTGGACAGAAGGAGATTCAAAAATCCCCCAGAAAGAAAAAATAATATGAATCCACAGGCTGACCCTACTCAAGCAAATCCCAAATATCCACATACTAAAATATTGAATAAATTCAATATTGTTTGGCACTGGAAACATTTCTTCCTGATCAAAATACTTCTACTTTGTTTTACATTGCAAGTGTATCCTTGAAAATCAAATTTTTAAAAATGTTTCTTCCAACTTCTTCCAAGTCCATATGCAAGTCTTAATAAATTTATTCCTTATTTCTCTCTGTAAATCCCAGTGCATCATTTTGGTTAAGGTATTCGAATAGCCACCCTGAGCTACTGTATAAAATCAAGAATCTATTCTGACAGTAAAGGAAATCACCTTCACTGTCCAAAAATATCAAAATA